CCCAAACCATTCTATGATGATTCTCTTAGTTGTACTTTTGAATGATTAAACCATTAAATAAGAATAGGAGCTTTTTAAAAAATTACCACAGCCTGGAAATCTTTGCACACTCTGTAAGTCTACATTGTTGGACATATTGAAAAAAATCCAGTAGTTACCCTTGGTATTTCATTTAACAGAATCTGAGCAGGATAAGTAAGTTGGTTATCCTGTTCCTTAGCTCACAGGGTTCCCTCTTCATCCAGCACTTGATGGCTCATCCAGCTGCCTTTACTAAAACTGCCTCTCAGAGGGACAGCTATACCACGGATAGAAAACCAGAAAATGCAAAAGCTTTAGGGCTTTTCTGGCTGCTGAGCACACTTGGGTGTCTATCGTAAGTGAGCACAAGCTTTTCAGCCCCTTTGAACAGATTCGTCAGGAACATGTAACAAATAATACATGATAATCATTATATATGATGTATCAGCTGCACTGCCCCAGTGAAAACATTTTGAAAGCCTAGGGGTAGTTTTTGCGACTACCTAAACGAGGCTCAAAGTTTGGATTATTACATTACATTACAACATCACATTTTATAGTATGTGTGAAAACATTTTGCACATGGCAGAAAAAATTTGGGCACTGAAAAGAAGCATGTCCTGCTGCTTGTAAGACAGTGCTTTCTACTGCACCTCCATGTATACAATGCACCAGGCAAGTATTCCTGACCCCGTCATAGCAAAGTCAGCTATAACTAAAGCAACATCATAAAAACGGAATAGGATCTGCACAGATTTACTTCCTTAAAGGCAAGAAAGGTTTTGCACTTAAGGAACCCTAGTATTAAAGATGATGGCCAGTATAAATTGTCATCGCTCTGAGCAGATGTGACTCTGTGACACAAGGCAAGATCTATACTACAACTACCTTCACGGGTTTTTTAATTTACATGAACACAGAGTTCCAGTGTATACGATTATTATCCACAGATAATAATCTACGTTTTGCTGGTAGAGTTTACTCCAGGCCTATCCCAGCTAAAATGAGTCGTCGTTGCACAAGCAGCTTTCCAGCTGTACCTATCTATAATTGTGGGCCTCTTCTGCAAAGAAATCCCAATCACAAGTCAGACTCTACTATGCTCGTAAAAGTTTGTGGTAAAAATCTGGCCTGGAGGAATGGCTCTTTTCAAGATCGGCTATCGTTCTGCTTTGCTTGCGTCTCAAACCAATTTCTGAATACCACCAGAAAGGGCTTTGAGATTTGTGGAATCCAAATCCCAAACCCACATTTTTTCAGGTTGAAAACAAAACAAAAAAACAAGAATACACCTGAAACCTCTGATGCCTCTATCATTTCTCAAGTTTGTAAATTCTTTAATTTATTGAAAAACTGTCGTTTAAATTGACTATATAGATCCAGACAAGACAAACAACAAAACCACTCAGAAGGTACATATATTTTGTAAAAAATCAGAAAAGCACTCAATAGTTAAAAAGGTAAATAAAACAAACGGCTGCTCAGAAGTAACCCTCTCCTGTGCTTCTGCCACAGGCTTCAGGAGGGATCCAAAACAAAGGAGAAAAACCCCAAAACATCCGAGGTTTTTTAACACCTACCAGTAAAAACTTCCATTCTATTATTACTTTTTTTTTACTGTGAGCTGTAGAAAAGGACAAACACCATCAGGAAAAAAACAGCCTTAAAAAAACATTATATCCATTGTCTGCAACTAAGAGAATGTCACTGGAACACACTGTTGTCACAGGATAAAAATATGTTGGGGGGGGGGTTGGAAAACGTTGGTCTACAGGTAAATCCTAACTCAACTGCTGCTGCCATTACTGTGCAGACTCCAGAACAATGAAATTTTATCCTCCCCCTCTGCTCTGTGCCGGTGAGGCCTCACCTGGAGTACTGTGTCCAGTTCTGGGTTCCTCAGCTCAAGAAGGACAAAGAACTACTGGAGAGGGTCCAGTGCAGGGCCACCAAGATGATGAAGGGCCTGGAGAACCTTCCATATGAGGAAAGGCTGAGAGAGCTGGGTCTGTTTAGCTTGGAGAAGAGGAGGCTGAGGGGGGATCTTATCAATGCTTATCAATATCTAAAGGGTGGGTGTCAGGAGGATGGGGCCAGGCTCTTCGCAGTGGTGTCCAGTGACAGGACTGGGGGCAATGGCCATAAACTGGAAAACAGAAGGTTCAACCTGAACATGAGGAAACCCTTCTTCCCTGTGAGGTGACAGAGCACTGGAACAGGCTGCCCAGGGAGGTGGTGGAGTCTCCTTCCCTGGAGACTTCCCAAAGCCGCCTGGACTTGTTCCTGTGTGATCTACTCCAGATGATCCTGCTCTGGCAGGGGGATTGGACTAGATGATCTCTAGAGGTCACTTCCAACCCCCTCCACTGTGTGAATCTGTAAATGTAAGTTGACTTCTGCTGCTATTGTTAAAACAAACTGTTAAAAGGAAGGGCATACATATGGATGTTCTAATAGAATGTAAAAGCAACAATCAAATCAAAGTCATAGCAGAACAGGACCTGAAGGGACCAGATGAGACACTGATTCTTTTGCAACCAACAGTCAGTCATGATTAGGATGACTGCCATGTTCAGATTAGCAGTGTAAAGGATATACGTGTGATGGTTTTCACCTTAAACATGCTGCTCTCTCCTCAGATTACAGAGGCTCCCTCTACAACTAACTATTTTAGACTGGCTGTTAAACATTCAGAGAACTGAAGTTAGGGAGATTAATCTGAAGATGATTATTTTGCTCTCACATGATTCTGAAATCATGGGGACAAATTATTGATTTCTGAAAATATAATGCACCAACTGCCTTGAGTGTTGGTGGCAAAATCCTAATCTCTAATGTCCCATTTGAACAACATGCCAGTGCACATACCTCACTTCAAATAAAGTTTTGTGCATGTTTAAGTGTGTTTCTAGGCAGCTGAACATAGGTACTCCTCTTGCTAGCGTGTTCAGTAATAAAATCATCTTTTACTTCCTACCTTTTCCCTCCAGCAGTCCCAGTTTCGCTGTTAATGCAGAGATATTAGCAGTTATCATGGGCATTTCCTGGGCTCGTTCTTGGTCTCGTGCTGGGAAGTTAGTTTAAGCAATTCTTTCAGATTTCCCAAAGCAGCAATGAACCACATAAGACAATCAGTGGCCCACTGTGCAAACACATGGAAACACTGCTAATTACAGCCTTTCACCCCAGTTAGCTATTACAGGGATGCAGTGACAAGTCTTTCCTCTGTCTCACACTAAGCTATTACTTTTACATTATTCAGGAATTAAGAGCTCTTTCAGAATAAGAAATGCTAGAAATCTTTACAGCTTCCTTTACAGGTTCCTCCAGTTTGTTGTATGGACTTTTACATATTACATAATTTGCAGCAATAAAATCTAACCTCTGACTTCACAAAAACAAGGTATTTTACCCCGTATCTTATAAATTTAATTGAAATATGTGCTGTATTGTCATTCTGAGCTGGCTGGCTCATTTGTCTTTAAAAATAAAAAGGGTAAATATGAAAAAGAGGAATTGCTCCTTAAGGTGGCTGTCCCTCCTGCTAATAATTTGATTCTGTTCTTTTCAACTGAAACATTAAACTAGCATAGCAGTCTTGTGACTAATAGATGGGCAAGCAAGTACCAGAAAATTGCTTCCACTTTCTCAGTTAAGGGCACTTTCGCTATCCTTGGGAACAATGAAACTCCAATTGATACAAAAGCAAAAAAAGAATATTTAAAAATAAATAAAACGTAGCAATATTTCAAATTCTAACTCTTAAAATCTTTTAAAAGCAGCTTTTGTAATGGATTTGGTAGATAATGAAGTGATAAAAGACTCTGACATAATGGCTTTAACACATGTTGTTGCTATAGTAAGAAAATATACTCATTTTTAAAAGTTATTGAGCCACACAATTTTTTTCTTACCTGTAAGATCTCTGCGAGGTACCTGCGCCGCTCACCATTAGCTCTGTGGTAAGCCTGCATTTAAAATAAGGGATAGAGGTTACCATTAAGCAAAATATTTTAGAAGTTGAATCATACAGAAAGAAACAAATATACAGTAGAGTTTTATTCCAGTGACGTATTTTGTGGTACTATTCTATTGTGTGTTCCACACACACTGTCTGCCTACCAGAAAACATAATAGCTTTTATAGATCAGAGGCATACAGTGACTACAAACCTTTGCTTCTTGTTCCAGTCTAAGTTCATAGTCTTTTAGCTGATTCCGTATACTTTTCTTCTCTTCTTGTAGTTGTTTAAGAACCTCCTTTAAGGAACCCTGTGGTCATAGCAAATAAAATGATGTTTTAGAAATACTTCCATTCTGTATAAAGATCCTACCACCACAGTCCCTATTCTCCAAGCATTATGATGTCATTCTATTTGCTTCTTGTGCACGTTTTGTTTAAACGGTTCCGGCTGGCACACTGCAGAGATGAAAGCAATTAACCATACGCTACAATTATCAGTTAAGCGCTGCACACTTCCACTGTGTTAAAGTGATACAGATCTGGTTTTCCACACCGCTGCTCCTTGATAGGTCAGCAAAGTCACTAAATTCTTAGCCAGCCAGAATTGCCCCTTACTTCTAAACAAAGTCCACTCTGATGTCTCCCTTCTAGTAGGAGGAAGATTTCAGATCTCTCCTGCTCATTCAGACCTCATCCATTTTCAAACCACTTGCTGAGAAAGCTGCTGGACTAGCTGAAGGGGTATGTGGGATGTCAAAGGTAACCCATAATGACTTGTCTAGAAAGCAGTATTTTGTGGGGAGACTATCTGTCATAGGTGTGTAGTCATTTACCCTGTCTACAATTGGGGTGAGCTAGAGTAACGGTGGTAGAGTCCATTTTTGGTTACTAGTTAAACAATGACACTGCACTGGACGGTTCTTCATCTGCTGTGCACTGGAAGCAGAACGCACTCCCAAGCAGGTCCTCCTCCATTTCTAACACAGGATACCATTTCTCATAATACCCTTCATAAATTGATCCAATTGATCCATTCAATCCAGTAGAGACGTTCTTATTGGGAGGCTCTAATAGTAGATTGCTTTTTTAATTCCTTGCCTCAGAGTATTCAAGGCCAGTGTGTGGCTGTTTGTTGTTGTATTGAAATTAAGATAATTGCTCTTCTTCCTCCCTGGTGTCTGTCCCCAACACGCACAGACAGAGAACAGGAATATAATTTTTCAACATTTATTTTACTAGGATAAATAAGCTGAGCTTTTAAAAATGGTCTGTCACACAGCAGGCTGTCCTTTCACCTAATAATCATAGTAACCCCATTGTACACCAGGCTGGAGCTCCACATTCTTAGGGCAGGAGTAGAGAACCGCACTGGAGTACAGAGTACTTCGGAAGCAATCTGGCTGCCCTGAACAATGTCAGTGATACTTCGTTATCTGTACAGAGAAGTTTTAGGATTGCATTTTCCTCTTTCACAGCTGCATGGTGATGGCTCACAGCGAACATGGAATCAGCTAAAACACCCAGATTCTCCTCGGCAGCTATGTCCAGGCCATCAGCTCTCAATTCATAACAGAATTTGTTTACTATCTCCTAAATTCTTTGCTCTACACTATTAAATTTTAATCCCATTTTTAATAATCAGTGTAATTATTTTTTTCTAACCAACATCCAGATCCCTACTATATTACATAATTGGTATCAGGAGAAAGATATCATAATCTACTTCTACTTGGTGTATCAAGGTCATGCATTATGTGTTAAGATCAGTCCTAAACCTGGTCCTGGAAGAGCTCTGCTTGTACTCTCCCAGCAGCCTCCTGCACTAGTCGCCACTATCATCTTCCATTTGCCAGCTCTTTACTCCTTCAACACATCCACTGATTTTCATTTTCTCCAAATTAATCCGTCATTTCCCATGTGACACGGTACTGTTATCAGAGGTCACAGAGAACAAGATTACTGTATTTATAGTGATGACAAATCTATTGTCTCATCACAGAATGTCAACAAGCTTACCCGCTGTGAGCCACTTTTAATATATCTGTATTTCAGTTCGGTTTTGCAACAATTATTCCTTTCTTTCTCTTAAAACTGTAAAAAAAAAGATTTGTGTTTCTCCAACGCACACAATGCCACCATCCCTGCCTTCATTAAAACCACTTGCTATCAGATCAGTGATGTAACCAGGCAGTTCCTTCAGAATCCTAAGGTACGGATTTCTCTCAATTGAAGCATACCCAGCTCCTTGAGTTTTGCTTAGGATTTGGTTACTGTCATTTCCTCTTCCCAGCTGTTGCTGACATTAGCTATTTCATCCTTTGTCCTGCATTTTATTGTTTCTGCCTTTACTGAAAACTTAGTCAATATATACATGTTTACTTTAAAATGAATGTATCTATGATCACTAGATCTGACAGTTTTTATGACTGGCTTTTCTGTAATGTTATTCTAGATTTTCCAAATCTAAAACAGTATTCCCTCCTTCTTATCCAGTGTCTTCTGATAAAATGCATTAATTATCACTCTTCTTGAAAACTGTGCGTCATCATTATTACTAAAATTGGTTTTCAGTATTTATTGACAAGTATCACATATGATACAATTTCTGGAAGTAATCTAATAATATTATATCCAAATTAATCCAGAAAAATTTCATATTTATATCTATGTTTGATGGTATGGATGGGATTCCGTCTGAGGTGAGGATATCTACATTTGAGTACGCATATGTGAACTACTAAGAGTCACAGTCAATACAATCAATGATGCGCAGAGATTCGTTCAGCTGAGCAGTTAAAGAGCTCAACTCTGTTGCCATCTGAGATGCCCTAAAGTGTCCCAGACACTCACGTGTGGCAGATATGACATGGGTTACAGGAGACACGTGTCCTTCTGGAGCGGCAGTGGCTACTCTGCACTGAAACATCTGCTTTACATCTCTGTTTACACAACTATTCCACTGAAGATGCCCACTTAGATGAATCCAGATGCAACTCTATACTCAGCTGACTATTAATTAGACCTGCACTGCCTGTAGTAGGAATTAAAGATCTACCCGAGAGGTAGACATCTACATATAGAAAAGAAAATATTGGTGTCCTAATATTTAAGTGAGTTATATTGTTTAAATATATATTTCAATATCCTTCTCCAATATTATTGTGATTATAATCTGTTTTCCCATCCACCCTGAAGATGAATTAATCCAAACAGATGATGAAGAAAGAACAAACAACATTACTCTAAGTCCCTCACATCTGCTACATACCTCATCTCTCCCTGTTTTGCTCTTTCCTGCCAAGTGCATACCTTAATATTTGGATATTAAACAAGATGGGATATTTGGTATCCCATCATGTTTTCGTTATCAATTTTACTACATTTCAGGCTAATCAGGTTCTTCCATTTGTCTGCTTAGGCCCCCTGTGTAAAATAAGTATCTGTTCTGGAATTTTTGTTTCTTTCTATTTCTACCTGACCATTGCTTTAATAATCAGTTATTTCTTCTCATGACCTTAATGCTTTGCAGATTTCCGTAGTAAACATGGAAAGGAAGATAATATGACTCTCTCTAAATATTCTCCCCCCCCTTTTTTTTTTTGTGGAAATTTTTCCCTATTTATCATGCAAACCTTGGATCTGGAAGGCCAGTATCCATGTCTGGTCTATTTCTCACAGAGTTTATGAATGCTTGCTAATGGTAAAAAAGTCCCAAACCTAATTTAAGCCTTAAGGGATCAATACTGGGTCCGGACCTGTTTAACATCTTCACTAATAATCTGGATGATGGGGCAGAGTGATCCCTCAGGAAGGTTACAGATGACTCCAAACTGGGAGGAATGGCTGATACACCAGAGGGTTGTGCTGCCATCCAGAGGGACCTCAGCAGGCTGGGGAAATGGGCTGACAGGAACCTCATGAAGTTCAACAAGGAGAAGCACAAAGTCCTACACCTGGGAAGGACAACCCCAGGCACCAGTACATGCTGTGGCCCACACAGCTGGCAAGCAGCTGGGGAGAAAAGGACCTGGGGGTCCTGTGGGCACAAGGTTGAACATGAGCCAGCAATGTGCCCTTGTTGCCAAGAAAGCCAACATTACCCTGAAGAGCAGTAGGAAAACCATTGCCAGCAGGTCAAGGGAGATGATCCTTTTTCATTTAGCACCGGTGAGGCCACACCTGGAATGCTGTGCCCAGTGCTGTGCCCCACACAGGTGGCAAGCAGCTGGGGAGAAAAGGACCTGGGGGTCCTGTGGGCACAAGGTTGAACATGAGCCAGCAATGTGCCCTTGTTGCCAAGAAAGCCAACATTACCCTGAAGAGCAGTAGGAAAACCATTGCCAGCAGGTCAAGGGAGATGATCCTTCTTCATTTAGCACCGGTGAGGCTACACCTGGAATGCTGTGCCCAGTGCTGGGCTCCCCAGTACAAGAGAGACGTGGGCATGCTGAAAAACGTCCAGTGAAGAGCCACAAGGATGATTAAGGGACTAGAGCACCTCTCATATGAAGAAAGGCTGAGAGAGCTGGGCTGTTCAACCTGGAGAAGGCTGAGGGGGATCCTATTAATGTATATAATTACCTGGAGGGAGGGTGCAAAGAAGACAGTAGTGCCCAGTGACAGGACCAGAGGCAGTGGGCACAAACTGAAACACAGGAGTTTCCCTCTGAACATCAGGAAACACCTTTTTTACTGTGAGCATGGAATTGCCCAGGGAGGTTGTAGACTCTCCCTCCTTAGAGATATTAAAAAAATGTCTCGACATGATCCTGGGCAAGTGGCTGTACGTAGCCCTGCTTGAGCAGGGCTGTTAGACGAGATAACCTCCAAAAGTCCCTTCCAGCTTCAACAATCCTGTGATTCTGTTTCACTTTATTGCTACAGCTGTGCCTTCCATCTCGCAGTCAGTACTTTGGTCAGACCAGTTCATCCTCCTTGGGCATCCAGCCAGCCAAGCACAGTCTTCTTTGGTCTGTTCCAGAGTGAATTTGAAAACGTCATTTGTCATTACACAAAAGATGATGTGGTTTTTATATGAGCATTTTCATCTCAGGTCCATAACTTATATCCTTGACTTTGGACATCATCAAGCCGTTCTATTTTCTGGATGGGAACAGTGATAGCCCTACCAACAGTTTCTAACAGACAGTCACCAAACATATACATCTCCCTCTTACATCTGCCTGTTTGAAATCTCCAGTCTCCTCCTTTCTAGCATCTGCACATTATAGCATCTTTTATTTTCTCATAAATTTCTGTACAACACATTACTTATTCAGCTCCAAATTTTATTTTTCACAAAAACCCC